GTTCGTTTTCCAAACTCTCATACGACGGTTTTAAGGCATTGTACACCTCCCACGTCAGACCTCGCTTGGAGTTCGCGAGCGCTGCGACATATCCCTATACAACTGCTGAAATGGTGAAGCTGGAGAGAGTCCAACGTGCTGCCACCCGTATGATTGCCGGGTTACGCGGGTGTTGCTACACCGAACGATTGCATGCGACTGGATTGTTTCCGGAGTCCTATCGCCGAGTACGGGGTGATATCATCTGTGTGCGACGTATTCTTCGCGGTGACATGGGTCCAGAGTTGATGGAGTATTTCCCTCTGCGCGAGCAGACCAGGACTCGTGGACATGGACTTACGCTGTTGAAGCTTTCGTCCGTAGGATTACCTCTTCGGTTCCGGCTATCGCGAAGGGTAACCAACCTTTGGAACTCCCTTCCAGCTGACGTGGTGGACGAGGTCAATGATAAGATGTTCAAGAGGAAGCTCGACAGCGTCCTGCGAACAATGTGGTATGCAGATCTATCATGAATGAGATCTTCGAGTCTGTGGTGATGAGGCTCATACGGGAAATTACCCTCTGCCTCTAATTGAAGAACATTGAACATATATTCCGAATAACCGAAAAGCCGGTTCTGACGTAAATTTTGTTGCTAGATCGTTCAATTGCGCATCAAAGATATGTTCTTCTTCCTCTCATTTTCACTGTAGACAGCTTCTTGGGGTATATCATGCATGACTACATTTCCCTTGAAGTAAAATGCACTGTACAACTACGTCCTGTTAAAAAGTGTTATGAAAATCCGGTAATTTTGTGTTTCAGGTTATAATTTACCTCGAGATAGTATTAGGTGATGACAGAAAAAATCCAAAAAACAAAAGACAAGCATTGTTTTCCAATATATTGCTCGTGGAAAATAGTTTTGTGCAATGGTTATCTGCAGCGTACGTCATTATACAACAACCGGAAGCAGCAACAACAGCAACAACAACAGAAACCGCCAACTGGCGTCAGCCATAGAACTCCACCTACTATACACATACACATGTATGTGTCCTGAAATGCAAGCGACCATAATCGGGTTTTGGTCCACCGTTGTGTCATATTTGGGTTTCAAAAAGACCCTCCCCCCTCCCCCCCTCCTCAGGGCCTGTAAACTGGACACCGTGTTTATTGTGGTCACGTATAAAACGGCTCTGCAGTATCTGTTCTGGTCCTTTTTTAAAGAAATCATTCACCATGTTTGGTCCCCGGAAATCACCGTTGCTTGCATCCGCTTGCTTTGCTCTTCTGCTCTCATGTAAGCTGTATGTATGTTTCCTAGATAATGGGATCCATATTTTCAATATGTTTATCTCCGACAATGTGACTCATGTCATTTTCACTACATTTCATTTATCTTTTCCTATCCATCTGTTGCAGGTGTATTGGCAGACAAGTACATCGGTAATAGCGTGTGCAACTCCGGAGGTGAATTTCCGTTTTAACGTGGAAACATTTTAAACTGAAAGTATTTGCTTCACGTTAGGGTTAGTTCGATTTTACATTCATCTGATACAAGTTCATTATTCATGATTGTGCCAGACCAGATCAGTGATGATTTCTGGTGCCTGTTTGTCACTGGATATGAGAAATTACCCCCAAAATACAGTATATGGGGAATTAGTGATGAAACGAATCATCTGTCCTATCACTGCAATAACAATAAACCACGAGATGTTCAAAAGTTATCGTTTTGGTTTGCGTCCTCAAACCTGCTAGCCAATGAAGTGGCCCGTTTTGACAGTCGAAAAGAAAAGAGCGTTCTCACTTGCACTGATCACCATTTTGGGCGCTGTAACAACATTGGTATCCATGGTTCTAAATTTCAATTCTTTTTGTTATCACTAGTATAATGAGGAAAAACTTATTTTTGAGAAGCGGACTTCACCTAATTAAGTACTGCCTGGGAACTTGAGGAGAAGAGAACGTTAAAAAATCATCTAATGTGGTGTATTTAAACACAACTTGTGGTTCAATGCGAACATAGCAGCATAAGAATTGACTAGCATTTTTGCTATGGGGTGGCGAGATTTGTACCCGTAAATTGAGAGGGAGAAGAAAGTGTTGTAGCTATTCTAGTTTCTGGTCTGAGTTATATGCTTTTCAAGGAATTCATTTGACACGTTCATTCGCACCTTCTCATTTTAGGCAGCCTGGATAGCTTGGGCCTCGGTGGTACGTGTGGTTGCGGTTGCGGTTTGAGTTCGGGTTCTGCTGGAGGTGGCAGTTCTCTGGGCGGTGCCGGCAGTGATTCGGGCAATGTGTACAGCGCACCAGCGAGCCTCTGTCGTAAGTCCGCTATGTCGAAATTGTAAAACTGCGTAATTCTGATTGGTCTCTTTTCTGGTTGTGATACTCGTTGTCTAACCCCTAGGGTTCCTAATTGATTTCGCAAACAGATATTGGGATTCTAAACACGGGTCGATTAATTTGTACTTGAACCCCGCATTTACACTGATAGGGTGGTTTACATTAGAAAACTGTACTAACTGTTATTTTTTATCATTTAACTAAGGTAATCATCAATTTATGTTAAACACGATTCTGCCTGGAAATAATATTTATTGAATGTGGCTCAGGATGCCGATTTGGTGTTGATTTGTTTTTTAAGCTGGAAGAGTTGTTCGCAGAAGTTGCATAGCCAGGCTGGGCAACAAAATCATCATCTCTGACGTTGCACTATTGACGTTGTCTAACTTGACTACGAAACGTCTACGAAAAACACTTCCAGATCAGAAAACACGCACCAAAAACAGCGGTACCGGTTACTTCGAGTGGATTGCGTTTCCAGAACCAGTTTCTCAAATATTCGCTTGGTAATTAAAATGTACGGCCATACAAGTCCACAAATAATGCCCTCAAAGTTGCTCTAGACAATTTTTGATGTGGATGTTTTCATTTTCTTTCTAAAGCACACTATTTTTATTTTCTTCTTTCGATTTATTCCGTCAGAGAATATTGAGCGATTGTTCGGCGACAGAACACCCGGTGAGTGTTGCTGGTCTATAGAACTGTTTGTTCTTTCTCTGTTTACTCCAGAAATCGGTTTAACATATTCAAAGCACATGCAAGAATATTGCAGTGACCAGACAACAGTAATCTTACACTATAATGATTTCAGTTACCAATGACGGCTGTGCAATCACGGCCAATGTTGACGTGAATAATGAATAGTGGCTATCTAAGTGCATAATCACCTGCCCTTCAAAGTGGACAGCGATGCGTCGGGTCACTAGTGAATTGCACAAAACTCCGACAGATTAGGAATGTAAATAATCCCAACGATAATAAGGCTTCCTGGTATCAGATATGGCAGTGAGCAGTATTGGAACCCGGCACGTTGGGAGGGATATGAACTACGAGAAGCAATTTAGGCAATCCGATTGCCTCAACAACAACCAACACTAGCTGTAAGAATAACTCAGCGGGTTTTCAACGTAAAAAAATCTTACTATGGACTATGGATCGTGGATTTTCGCTCCCTGTGTAAAGTTACTTGGCAATTATCTAGGCAGGTTCACTGTCGAATGCAGCAGAAGCGGTAGACATTCCTCTGCCCGAATTCCCTCTGGGGGTATCCAAAAACAGTTTGTGGTGCACATCAAACACACATTGTACAACGAGTAATCTCAATTATCGGATGAGTGAACAGACAGCTATTTGATCATGTTGAATCCGATTTTCGGTCTCCAGATGAAATTGTTTCCAACGGTATATATTTAAATAAGTTGGCATAAATATGAATACTTGAAAACGAGTGTGTTCCCCATCATGTTGTATTGTTTGATATATGCCCTGTGATGCTATTTCGCAATCAAAACGTATCGTCGCAAAAATAATTCCCATATGGTGAGCTGAACTCAGAGTGCTGCATGGCCTGCAAATGCTCTGAGGATGACGGGGCAGAGGGGGGGGGAACGCATGCACGGAACCTAGCGCGATGTTGGCTTTACCTTATCGTAGTCCGCTTACAATACTCAGTGTACTCGATCCACTTAGAATTATTAGTGAAGAATAAGATTTCACCTTGCTGCGGTTTATTCGCTAACAACGGTTATGTTTGTTTGTTCATCTGTTTATAAATTTTTAACTGTATTTTAAACCAGTACACTTTTAATTTTTGTCTCATTTCAGATCTTCCATAATTACCAAATACTTCAGTCCATTGTATGGTACGTTCCCTAGTGTAGATTTCAAACACCCCTTTCTCCTGAACAAGGTCATTGCATTAGAATTTGGCAACACTTGATGCATCGCGGTCACCAAACACTTCATTGAAGTCAGAAACAATCGGTGTAGATAAAACAGTTGATCAGATAGGAATAAACTTGCAAAATCCGACTGATGATCGGAATACACGACCACAATTTTCGTAGATAAATGCGGATTCTAAGTGACTTTCTTCCTTCAAACTGCTCCCAGTGCTTCATAAAATGATGCAAGAATTACAAAAGTTGTACAACTACTTCATCTCAAGACTCCCGGGGAGGAAATAATGAGACTTTAGCACAAAATAGGGCCTTCACGTATTTGGCTCAACAACATAGATTGTTGTAGATTGTTTCCGAGGAGGGGTACAGTGAGAAAGTAGATGCTAAAACTCCTCGTGTATCATATAGAAGCAACTGTCTAGGTTATCACGACAAAGGTAACTACCAACAGGTCGTACTCGTTTTCCAAAAAATTGAGTACGACCAGCACTTTTGTGTGACAACGCCGAACGTGGAATCGATATCCAATCTATGGAGTGCTTATTTTAATAACATACATGTACGGATCAAACTCGAGTATCATGACTCATATTTGGGGAATATATTTCAGTTTTCAATGCTGTTGCTTATCATAGATCCGAACTTTGTCCACTTTTACGTATTTAGTTCTCTTGTATCACAGTTTGAATTTGCTCAACCGTGTCTGTAGCTACAAAATTGATAGTAGTGGTTCGAAAGTTACAGCTCACAATTAAAAAAGTACTGTATGCAAAGCAGCATGAGAGCACGTTCAATTCTTATAAACGACTGCTGTTCCCTATGGGTTCATAGTTTGATACTCTCAATGGCTAATCTTTTGTCGTTCGATGCACAATAAATAAATCCATTAAATAATATTTTTCAGCATTACTGAATTGATAAATTAAATTACTATAAACTACTTATGTAAAATGCCTAATCAGAAGAGACCAAGAATATATTTTAGGGAATAAAGGCCAATAGAATATTAACGAAGTTGAAGTACAATACATGAGCCGTGCCTATGAGTCATTTTCATGCACAAATTTCAATCATATGTTACACTGAGGTAATGTTATTTTAGAACTGGTGCACCAACAACCAATTTTGAAGTCTGAAAATCGTACAATTTAACTGTTTTCTACAGATTTGGTCTGTCTGAATGAAACTGTCTGATGAAACTGTAAACAATTAGTGTTGGGAAAAACAATATTGATGCAGGTCGGAATGCTGTACGAGTTTGATCACAAGTCAAATCAAGTCAAGTTCAGATATGGCTTTATTTCGCCCCATAGGAAATTAAAATTCAGTTACTGTGCAATCAATCTCCTGTGTAAATGGTAAAATAGATGATGATATGCTGCATATAGAAACAAGAAAATGAAGTTTAGCACAGATTTTGTTTAAGAGACCCAATGACAAGATTGGCGTGCCAATTAAGTTACTACAGAAGACCTGTATGTTGGGATGCGTGCGGCTATGTGCTTATACTTTGAGCAAGTTCAATATATAGAGATACAGTGACTGAGGTAAGGATACAGTGAGTGAAATGAATTTAGTAGTATTCTGGTAGAAAGATACTGACAAGCCCCAAAGTGCTGTGAAATAAAAAACTGCGAAATATGCCCACTAGATATGCCGCTGTATCGACATACGTGTTTGATGGATGTATATATGAGTTCGAAGTATTTCATTAAAAGACCCGGAAAAATAACTGTGAATGCATAAAGCCAGTGAGAGGAATACAAGAGAAAACAAAACGCTTTATTGAGTGAGTTGGGATATATAGCATTTTCAAAAGAATGATGTAAAAAGTAAGTTTTCTGACTTTGTGAAATGTCTCGAGGACATGAGGAGACCAAGAAAAATTGTGAGAAACGGGAACTCCGGGCTATTTACCGGAGNTTACCGGAGCATGCTCTGGAAACTTGTTTACCATTGTTGATGGCACGCTGGCACGAGTTCAGTGCATCAATATATTGGTCACCCAACAAAAAATGAAAATAAGACATCATTACACGTGGAATGATTCATTCAAAGATTACGCTGCAAAGACCAGTCGGTGAGCAATGAAATATTCTACCTTAGTTTGATGTACACGAGGGAATTCAAATAATTCATGCCACGCACAACATCGGCATATATAATGAGGAAACATCCATCAAAAGCAGGCATTGGAGAAATATAGGTTGTGAACAAGAAGGGAGAGAGAATAGCTCCTTTAAGAATTCTTTGAGTGGAGAGTAAAAGTGTAAAGTTACAACCCCTATATTTAGTAGACTGTAATCGATTGATGAAACAATAACGTAACAGATTGGTAAGCTGCCGCTGAATGCCTTTCACAGAGAGAGTGGGAAAAAGTTTGGACCTATCAACACAATTAAAAGCATCACTATAATCAATGAAACATACCCGAACAGCTTTACACTTCCTGTCCGAGAAAGAAAAACCATAAATAATAAAGGATGCCAAAGCATCTTTTGTAGTAACATATTTTCCAGGACATTTAAACCAACAGAAAGGCAACAAATCTAGCAAAATTATACTGTCCATTTTTGGTACTGTGATATATGCCACTAGCCTGGAGTCCGGAATGCATTGCTCAGTAAAACATAGGTTGAATAGGTCGGTGAAAACAGTATTCATACGGATTTGGTTACCTCCAATTTGATAGTCTATGTTGCTGTTTTGTTGTTGTAAAATGAAGTTACAATGGTCTTTATATGAACTCCATATTTCTGACAACAAGCTCGTGGAAGGAGGGCTTGATCACATTCATACTGATACACATATGATCAACCCTCATTCAATGTTCCCTGTTTCAGATTGAACATATCCCGGTGTGTGTTTCAAATCGGATCGAATGGATTAAATGCCGCTCATTCTCTTTTGTGGAAACTAAACAAGAACAATAATAAACAGTTGAAGAGAATGCAGCAAATGTCTTCTGATTGGGTATTATCCCGGTGAGCTCCGTCTAGACAACAACGTCAAACAGCGGATGAAAGAGGCGTAGCACATGTCAGATCTTAACTGAGAACTTCCCGTTTTCATAGTAGACACTAATTGCAATGGATGAAGCAACT